TGTTTATTATACGCGAAAATCTTACTTTTTAAGTGAATTAGTGACAAGCAAATGGACTTCTGATCGTTCATCAAGCAGTAACATTGCACCAAGGTAACCTATCCGTTTATCAGTGAAACGTGGCTGCGCAACGAGTTTCATGCACTCCATCTAAACGATGAATATCCTTACAACGATCTCTTAACCAAGGACTCAGAGGAAAATATACATGAAAACGAGGAAAGAAGACGAGTTGTGGGGAACGGTCACAAAAAAACAACGTTTGCCCCATTACGAACCGCCGCGAACTGCGTTCATTTTAGCATCCTTCAACCATGTTTGCCAATAACAATCAACAATAATTTCACCAGTAATACGTAGCAAAAATTATGGAGCAGTTCGGCTTAGAGGAGACACTTTGCACTCTTGCTGGCTCCTTTTGTTAGTTCAGACAAATAACAGCTAACTTGTAAACAATAACCTGTAAACTCCTGTGAAACTGCGAAGTGGTCCCAGCGAGCTACTTCAGTCCCCGAAAATTGCAGGTTTTCATCCGTACGAGCTCTACAACCTTATATGAGTACCGTTCAATGCCCCTATCAAGCCCAACTGCGCCAAAGACCTTTGACAGGGAGCATAAGACGAGAAAAATCCTCGGAAAAACTCTCCCTTCCGTGTTGCCCAGTACCGCCCACAGAACTACTGCACGCGACTAATATGGAAGTATTAATGGTAACTGATCAAGACTATCTCTACAAGGGAAAGATGCAGTTGAAAGTCACACAGAAGGAAAGGAAAAAGGAGCGGAACAGAGAGAGAATAAAAAAAGAATAGAGAGAAAATGACCTTCGAAAACTGGGAGTCACATACCTGACCAAAATGCGCTGGATATCCTAGCATGTGAATGTAGAGCAGTTTCGCTATATTACGACATTTCCATGGTGAATCATCTTCACGGAAGTTTTCTCTGAAATGGTAAGCCAACATTTCCTAGCAAAAAATCTTGATTTCAAGCAACTCAAAAGTCATCACAATGACCACATATTGATGCTCTGACCCGTTGATACAGAGTACAACCTCGGTGCGGGTTAAATGGCTGTATCAGGACGACCCCGGAAGTCCTCTTGAAGTACGACCCCCTTTCCTCGCATGCTACTTACCATCTTATTCTCCCAGCTCCCTACTCTCCCTAGCGATTGCCCAGAAAATCATCTAGTTCTTCTGAAAAACCGAGAGAGAGTGGGGAAGGCCGACAGAAATTAAGAAAATGACCGGTGAAGTAGTTATTTCATCTCAAAAATCCTAAAAAATGGAAAGTGGTATCGGGCAAAGGTCCAACTAGGTGAAGGTATATAACTCAGCATGAAACGGATAAAATATAGTCGGGAAAACATCTTCTGCGAAAGGCACGATAAAATACCGCTGGCTATCCCCAACAGACCAAGTACATCTCTAGTTAACTTGAGCGACGTACTGACGAAAAAAAAAGGAAAGAAGGAAAAGGCAAATAAGAAATGAACCACGTAAGAACCAACCGTATATTGGCACTTTCTCGGTCCACAACTGCTCTTTCTTCGGCCATCGTTCGTGCTGCACGAACCTGACGGATGAGGTCCCGAAGACGCATCGGAGTGCCCAAAGTTCTGCAAATATAATAGCGCTGAGAGCAAACTAACCAATCGCTGCAGGGAAACTTCTTTAAAATCTACATAAGCAACGGGTACTAGTAAAATCCGCATTCAATGTGATGTTGGTCCAACAGCGTCTTTGAAATTCACTTTTTTTTATGCTGATATTCTCAACCTGACCTTATTCCGTTCACAAAAATAACTGCTACCAGAGCTGGGCTGAGAACAGCCTCTGCTCAGGCTTTGTTTCACTCACCATCTAACTCCTTCACCAGCCAGGAATCATTACCAAAGTATCTGAACAGTATTCTCTCACGCTATAGTGAGGTACCCATATGTATTGAGATGGAAAACTCGAAGGCTTAACGCTTATTCAAAAGGTTGAGGAAAAACATGCAGAGAAACAAGTGGTTGCAAATCAAGAACCTTTGCTGAGCCTCTCAATCTTTCTAGAAACACCAGTCAATATCAAACCAATGCACATATGCTCCGGCGTTATGCCCATTGCTAGCCAAAAACCTAAATGATGCGCGCAGCGGGCGCAGCCACATCAGAGCACTGCTTCTGTCAGCATTAATATGGGTATCGTGAAACATTGCAGGAAGTGAATCAAGGCGCCGAACGAGCACGGCCCTGGCAGCAATGTCGTCAGTCCCAGTGAAGAATAGAGGCAGTGAAAACTTCAAAATGGCACTGCGGAATGGAGTATATATTGGAATATTTACCAGTTAAACTTTTAAGCAGAGATGCGTTGATTTACTCAATGACTCCGGGAAAAGTAAGCACGTTAGAGCTATTGATTCAGAGAAGCCTGAAAGCCTGAAGTCTTCGGTACTCGGATCCATACATATAGAAGGCTGTATGATCAGATCTAATCTAGGGTAATGCCACTAGTGGGCAGCCCCCCCCCACCCCACTTCTCTACACCGACTCATAATCGGTCCAATGAAAAAACGGCAAAAAAGAGAAATAGTGGAAACCGGTTGAAACCGCAAAAATCCACCTGAGAAAAGACGCCCCCCCCCTCCCCACTTCCCTACACCGACTCGAAATCGGTCCAATAAAACAACCGCAAATAAAAAAGAAATCAAGAGAAATAGTGAAAACCGGTTCAAAAACGTAAAATAAAAGCGCAAAAATCCACCTGAGAAAGGATGTCTTAGAGAAAATGGAGTTTTCTGAAGAAGAAGCGGGACGTTCTGCTCCCAACGCCATCTTCTGCGGCAACAAGGGCAGAGTCACAAGTGTGCTCGTTCTTCACCCGCTTGAGCTTCAAAGCATGTTACAAGTGCGTATATAGAATAGCAGGCCATTAGAGTCTTGAAAGGGCCTTCACGTTCCGGCCGTTTGCGCTTGAAAACTCATTGCACATTCACACGCAAATATACTTAACGCAGTATGTCGCTGACTGCCCCTAGCTTAGTTCTCCTCTACCTCAGATTATTGCAACTCACCTGAAAGTGTTTGGAAAGGAAAAACGTCCTCTCTGCAAGTAAAAAGTCTACTCCACGACATAGGCGGAGCTCCTCGCTCACTCTCACCACACACTCTCGCCACTCATTAAGGGGAAAACATATTTGCAGCCTAATATGAGGCGGAGGTGGTGCACTGACAAGTGGAACGCTTACCATGGGTGCGGTATGGAGATTAAACCCTTTGTCGGCTCTCGCCAAGGCCAACCGAGCCTTGTATCCTCCTGGACAGGGAAATCGGTACCACATTCGTCTGGGAGGATAAAAACGCAAATTGTTAACAACAATAAAAACTGATTGTACATGGGCTGGCCTCATTGTACTGGCCACGCTGCAACAGGCCACTACGGTCCTGGACCGTAAAAGAGTTTCTGCAGTAGATTCCTCTACGGCTTGACCTTGCCCCTGGGTATCTCTTGCGCCAGCGCTAAGCACAGAGCCAAAACACTAAAAAAACAAATTCGCTGGGAACGTCCCAAGCTATAGATTGACCGCCTGAATGCCGGTACCATTTCCCAATATGGCATAAAGTTGCGTGAAAACATAGATAAATAAATAGACGAATATATAAATATCACATCCGCTTGGCACGAAAACACCTAGCACAAGGGCTACGAGCGCCGGCGTCAAACTGGCCTGCATTGCCAGCGCCAGCGAGCACAGTGTTTTGGCTCCAAGCGGACATTAAATTCGAGCAGATATTTGACGTTTTTTCCTCATGGAAGAAGTCCTTTCGAAATAGGGCCTCATTTTCGAAGAGTCGGGCAGGGCAAAAAAGGATAAATCGTGCTGAACATTCAAATCAGTAGACTAAACATTAAATGTCACAACAGAAAGACATAAAGAATGAGCCAAGGCTGACTACTCTTGTCCCACTCATAGCTCGAAGCACTCAAGTCGGTACAAAAAAGGCAATCGAATCTTTCGAGTAGAGGGGAGACGAAGTCCAAAGATTGAGGGTCTGAGATGGAAGCGCCCACCACACTGTCATAACTGACCAATACCGCTTCATCTCCATTGTTCATCAGAGCTAAGACTTTCACGAGGGGCCGCTCATATATGTTGCTCATAAAAGTGCAAAAATACATCTTTCTAGGCGAAACAGTGCCGAAACAACACCTGAAAACCCAAGTTAACCATAACGCTGCTCGCAGACTCGGCAAAATCCGAGGTTCTGGTTAACCACAAATAATAGTATCCATTTAGGGAGAGTAGCTACAAGGCCTAATGGATGCCGCGGCCCGAGATCCGAGTTTTCATGCACCATAAAGTTCTTCCTCTCGGGATTAGTCTGGTAGTGAAATGCATGCAAAAGCACAACATTGGCTAGAACACCAGCTTGACCGTTCCTGGGGTAACCACGCGACCTACAAATCAACCTAGATTCGTGTGGAAAGAGTAAAGAGAAGGACCTACAAATAGGCCAACAGAGAGAAATTGCCAAAAAAAAGGGAAGCTGACACATGCGCAGCGATTACGTTGAGGATCCTCGGCGAGGGGAGGCAGGGGTCCTAACAGCCTTCGAGAAAAGTTCCCGTTTATTGCCTTCTCAATTTTTTTACGCTTTACACGTACCCTTCCCACCCCCCCCACGAAAGGACACTTTTCCAGAGGGGAAAAAGAAGAGTATGTTCCAAAGATAATGCGGCAAAGGTGGTAGAAAAATTTGGGATAATTCAGTAGAGATTGCCATGGTTTAGGATGGGGGAAGAAAGAAAAGAATAAGGTAGGGAGGTCCGGAGGGGGGGGGGCAGGTATTTTACTAGAATTTTGTCTCCAGGTAGAAGGAGAGTGCCCTAAAGGTGAAAGGCAAGTCCATGCTGCACACGTGCTCCAAAACCACAAGACGGTGTTTAATCTCTAAAACAGTACCAACCTGGTTAGATAATCTTGCACATGAGAATTCATATCGAAAAAAGTTTCCGGAATCGTGATGAACGGAAAAGACGCCATATAGTATTCACACCATTGAACGATATATCGTCTGCGCGTGGACTATATGTGTTTTATTCGGAGCATTCGCGCTCAATAATATTTGCACAATCAACAGCCAGACACCAGTCAATCTCTAAACTTCTTGAGTACAGCCAGCGCCCGGGAGACAAACACTGTTGCAAAGAACCCTTCTCAAAAAACAAACCACCTGATCCTTCGAGCGACGCACTTAAAAGCGAAAGCGCCCCCTACTGATGTTATGCCGAATTATCTATCCCACTCCCACCGAACATGAGACATTTGTTGAAACAAAAATAATTTTTTTTGTTTTCGATTAGGATCATTCAAGCGAACTTGGGAGGGATTTACTACTACGAACATCTTGTGCATCGATTTCAACATATTTTCCGACCCAATTTTGTGCTTTTTTGTGAATTCGGAGCAAATGCCCCAGATGGATTTTTCCTGTACAACCTTGCTGTGAAGAATGTCTTGGTCATGGCTCTCTCATATTCTTCACAGAATTTTTTGACTGTTGCTCGTTTTGCGTGGCCTCTGAAAGTGCGTTCATACTACATTGTGAGCGCGTGTCAGCGTTTTTAGCATTGCCACCACCTAGGAGAATATAGGCATCGACCCAGCGTTTCGAGCTTCTACCAGCTTGCAACGATAATCGATATCTATGCATTCTGACAGTGAGTCGCTCGAAACGCTGACGCTCAAGACGCTCGAAACGCTGACGCTCAAGACGCTCAAAATGCTTGTAGACGCGCAAAACGCTAGGTATATACTGTGGTTCGCTGCGGACGGTTGGGCGTGTCAGGCAGTATGAGTGTGCACCGCGTCAAAGCCGTTCTCTGCCTTCTTGTTGAAGCGCGCATGCGACAAAAAGTGGTAGAAAACGAGTAATACGAACGATATGATACAGTCATATCACTTGCTCGCTTTAACAACTGGTGGAGAACGGGTTTGGCACCACGCCAAACTCATCCCGCCGGACACGGACGCTCAAAACGCTGCCGCAAAGTATAAACGCCTTTTCAAAGATGCCGCAAAGTATAAACGCCTTTTCAAAGTGGAATCTCAAACAGCACCCTGTCGTAACATATTCAACGAGACATATTTGCTTTTATGGGTTCAAGCAGAGAAAGCTGTCGAGCAACTAGCCGGATACTAGCCAGTTCTTCTGCGTTGCCTCAAACACGCGATCTCACGCACAACCCCCCGCCCCATTTATCATGAAATTTGTTCTGCCTTTATTAAACCTTTATATAATAGTAGGTGCGTTTATTATTGCGGGAGAAAGGGTTCGCTACAAAAAAATTCAGGTTACCTTCCCCTAAACCCCTGATCTTTATGTATTGATGCTTTTAACAAAATGAAGATAAGGCACGTTCACCATTTATTGCCTCACTCCCGAAATTTTAGCAGAATTTGTGGTCCATATTCTCCTTCTAGATTCAGCCAAGTCTTTCTTCAGGAGGGTAGTTCGACCTCCTAAAGACGACTATCGCACCCCTCAAACGAAAGTGCCCCCTGTCTACATCAAGGACGCCAGCACTACAAGTAATTTTTGCTGGCGCTTCCACGCAAGTATCAGGACTGCTTCATCGCCACCGCTAGTGGAATAATCGCGGTTTGCCGCGGTGAATACCTATGGGGACAACTATTTGACAAGCTCGGTGTGTTTTGAGGTGTTTGGGTGAAGGCGCGGCACGAGCGGCATGCGGTTTTGAACCAGGCAGATGTAATGTTCATGTTAGGTCTAGACAAATCTATCCACGCAGGGAAATTTCGTTCAACATCTAGCTGTAGTTTCGAAGAAAATGGCAGAAAGTCGCGATTACTTCCGAAAATTAGTAGCAAAACTAACTTGTGCATAGACTCGACCTCGTTTATGAACATTAGCCACGGATGCATTGAATACCACTATATTAGCCACGTTGCATGCCCTCTTCAACTGCACTTTCGAGCCTGCTGTCAGTTGACCGGTAAGCGTGAGAAGTCACGTAATACCTCGTCCAGGGCGCGCCGTACGTTAAGCATTTCCAGCGAGTAGGGGGTCGTATTTGGTCGCTGCGGGGAAGTAGCGCAGGTCATTTTGCTTGCTCAGGAAAAAATGCTTTATCGCGATTGCTGAACTTCTTCGATTTTTCCAACCTTCATACATTAAACCCCTACCACTCCCCTGCTCGAGGACTGTTCCGAGGAAAGGTAATGAAGAATTCAAGGAGCACTGTAGTAGGATCGGGAAATAGAGAAGAGAAGAAAATTTTCGAAGTGGGAACGTATTGCAAATTTCCTTCCAGTGGCAAGATTTACCCCCTTAAGACCGATCAAAGGCGCTTATGAAATAAGTGGTGCTGCACTCAAGAATCAAAAATGCAGTCGGAGCGAAGGACAAGCGCTTGAAGACTTAACGACTTTCAGAGTGGTGGCAAATGCTCATTAAGAAGAATGAGAGTCAACCTATGGCAATTTCCCCTCCATTTATTCAATTAAGAATGCAGAAAGCCTGCGAATAAATAAACAAACAGTCAAAGCGACTACCTAATAAAGAACCACAAAACCTGAAGGAAAAAACGGTTTCAAGATAATTTACGACCACTCACTCGAAAAAGCTAGAGCTGTTTAATGGTGTGCGACGTGTCTTACTTCGAACATTAATGTTGTATTTTTAAATTGTTTTGCCTCCTCAAATCCCGGGACTGCATATTGTGAATAGCGGCGCGGCGCCTCAATTCAAACATATAGTAGCTGATTAAGTCTTCCAGGAAGAAAAAGAATCAAAAAAAAAAAACGGATAAAAAAATACCCTAAGTGGAGACCTGGTAACCTCTCTGGACAAGTTCTCTGGACATTCTCGTTCTATGCCACCAAAGCGACCCTACCGCCTCTGGCTCTCCTAATCGTTTCTTAGCGTTATTCAACGCCAATACCAATCGAACAGGTTAAAAAAAAAACGAACATAAAGCGCACGCCGTAAAAACAGAACTCTTTAGCAGAAGTAGTCTTTCAGTACCAACTGGCGCGGACAACAACAGGCGTACGAAATGGCACTCGTGAAGCCACAGCGCCTTCGTCACTTACTGTGAAGCCGCGAAACAGGAATAAGGAATAATCCTAGAAGCTACTTCTAAACAGACTTACTTCTACAAGGAGAGACGCCTATGAGTGCTCGAGCTTTCGGACTGCCTTTAAGAAAAACATGCTGTTGCGGTGTAATAAATAATCATATAACATTATAAAAATCAATATACTTCAGCTGAACTCAATCAATCACAACACTGCGGAAGCTATCTATAAGGAAACCACTATATTGACGATTTTGGGGCTATGCTGCGCAATGCACCTACTCAGAACATCAAAGCAGCTGCAACATCAAAGCAAGATGGTCAAAAAGTAAGAAAAGGTGGAGTCCTCATTCTTCGATCTCGTCTGCACGTCTCTTCATCATGCCTTGCCGCGGTCATGCATGGCAGGTTTAAGGGACGAGCAAAGTAGGATCATGAATGAGATCGCCGCCCATTTTTATTTTTTTACCCTCTTACTCAGACGTTGAAACTGCTCTTTTCTCTTGAGAAGTGAAAAAAATTTCCTTCAAAAAACTTGCTCAACAGATGTCTTACTCTAGCAACACTCCACTCTGAGTTCTCACTAGAAGAGTCCTGAGTGGGCAGTCGCTCATACTCAT